GGCATTGATTGCTACAAATTTCACATATTTCAGTGAGTATTTCTTTGGGATTTACAGCAGCTTTCATGAAGCTTTTATTTTCACTCTAGTTTAGTTTACTGATTCTTTACCATTCATTTATAATGCAGTGTTATAGCCCTTGTTTCCCAGCTTCTCACAATGAAATATTGATGAAAAGTTGTCACATAAACTGTTATAAATTCATTAAAGATTCAATAATGAGAGAAAGTCAAGCTTAATGTCATATGATATCTGTATTGCATGTCATACAGTTCAGGACATTATTTATTGAACAGCCCTCGTATAAGTATTTGGCGAATAATGTTATATCTTGTACGTCTTCTTCCTTGCAATTTTAAATTTTTTGCTCTTGTCAACCGTCATTGCGAGAAATTATTCCAGTCTTTGCTTTCTTTGCTTCTTTTTTAAAAAGTTAGTTCTGTATTTTACAAATATGGAACTTCAGTGAAAAATCTTTGTTTAAAAAGTAAAATTTAATGGTTGAAAATATCTCGTGGGTTATTAGTAGAACAGATTATTTGTTCAAAGTTACAATAATTCAATTCTTCTCCATGAAAGACCTACATTAACAGAATGAGAACTTTCATCAATTGAATGAAGAGAAGCGCCAATCATGCAAATCATTTATGGGACACCTTGCAATAAATTTTTGCTTTTGATGGAGATGAAGTCAGTGTATTATCGAGGTGGAAGTTCTATCCCACTCTGTGTCAAGGAGCATGCATGAAATATCGAAACACGTAGGCTTTAAAGGTTCGAGTATCTGCTTTGCATAAAGCTCTGGTAAGCGCGGGAAACAGCTCGTGATGGATACGATCAAACGCCGTGATTGGTGTTCTTTTCTCAGGCAGAACTTACAACTAATTACGTAAGTCATGTCCAATGAAAATTCCTCACAAAGTGCATTTAACTTATCAAGATTATAAAACTTGGATTTTTGAATGTTCGATTGAACAAAACAAAAGTCGATCATATTAGGGAAATTTTCCTTTTCGGGATTTGGGTAAGTTTTATTTAAAATATATATTTGATATTAGATTTATATAATAAATATTTTTTTTTGCATAAAAAAGTTCTGTTCTCTGTTGATCTACCAAAAATACTTGTCAGAGGATAGAATTTCATTATATTGCTAACTAATGGATTCTGGTTCTTTATTAATGGCATTATCCCAGAAAGCAAAATTTATGACATTGTCAAAATCTCTTTAGATCAAAATGTCAGTTAAGTTCATCTTCCTGACTCGTATATTATGATACTTTACTTTGTATTTTTAAATTTAGGTCCTAATTTCTAGACTCTTTAAATAGTCCTTAGTAAAGAGTTTCAGGGAAAGTACCATGCAGTGTTCATATAAGAAAAAAGAACATTTATTTCTCAACTTATATAACAGTACATTTGAGTGATAAATCATTAATAATAAGACTGGGCTCCTGCTCCAGGTGTAAGGAAATCATTATTCAATAAAAATAATTTCCCGAACCTAAGTCGACTTATTCCGGGTGCAAGCTGTTGACAATATCCGATGTTTGACAGATGATTGTCAGAAAATAGGCTACTTGAGAAGTGAAATACTGTAAATAATGATAAAAAACAAATATGCCTGAGAGGTTTAGTTTTTGTTAACTTTCTGTGAAATCCTTTTGACGTTGAATTGTTGGGCATCAAGATTTTGATGTCATAAAACAGGCAAAGTGTTCAACTCGAGATATGATGGAGTAAAGGTTAATGAAAAGAAAATACTGCAGAGAGAAATATACATATTTTGTTGGTTAATTTTGTTTTATGACTAACTTATTTTCTTCTTTCTTAAAATGACACTTTTTCACTGACCTCTTTAAAGTCGGCATGTTGTAAATAAATTCTGTGAATGTTATTATGACCTTGTTAGCAGCCTTTGTTATATACTGGATTCGACAGAAATCTTCCGTGCATCTGCTCAGTATATATGGTATACGGCGGGTGTGACGATCAACAGGTGATGCTTCACATCTGATCCCAATCTAAGTCTTATATTTCCATAGGTCTGTGTGTACCCTGTTCAAAGACTTGTCTTATATATATATATATATATATATATATATATATATATATATATATATATATATATATATATATATATATTATTTTCGTGATCACTGTTTATTTCCCTTTCATCATATAAAAAATACCAAGGTATCATTACTACCATATTTCTACACTTTTACTATGTTTCTCTCCAACATTTAAACACCATCCATTAAATTAAACAATGATAATTTTCAAACTTAGTAATTGTGAAAAGAAAAAAAAAATCAAGCAAAAATGCATTCTTTTAATATCATTCATTTTAAATGGGAATTTTCATTATTTGCCAATTATTTGAAAAAAAACCTTAAAAATTCAGAAAAGTTATTACAAAATATGTAATAAATAAAAATATCATCAAAAACGAATGTTTCTTTGATAAAAATGAAACACTCAATTAATTGTCATTGATAATAGTATATTATTTTGATGACACTATTCTGATTTTTCACATGAGTACTCCGATGTTGATATTAAAATAATACCTGAGCTTTAATGTCTACGATATCTTTGGAGACTAAGACTTCCAGCATAATTTTAAAGTTCTTATTTTGACTTTTTTTAATCCTATTATCATTAGCTATGATTTTGTATACATACGAGGCAGAAACTTTGTAAAAACTTCCACATGTAAAAGAAAAATTCACTTTCTGTGGCCTTCAATTCGACAGCAGATATTTTAATTTAATTCCTGAACTAATTCTAATTATGCCACTTAATGTGAAAAACATTACAGAGTCTGACACTTCTGTTTCACAGTTGGATATTTTACCAGAAAAGATATAGATGGCAAAATAAAAGCTAAGTGCTTTGATAACCGTTATGATTCAACTTTTTTATCTTCAAATCCCGTTATTTATGTTGTAGTATACCATAAACATCTGTATATGTAGTTAACATCTCCCCATTGATTAGATACAAAGTATATTTTCTACATACGATCAATTTATAAATCGAGGTAGGATGTCATATGAATTACTGATATAATATATGATCCCATCTAACTTTACAAATGTCTGTGATTTTTCAGCTCTAAATCACTAATATCAAATTGAAATTTCATACCATTTGAAATTTTTTAAATACCATTAAAATAAAATAACTTTAGTAACTTGAATATAAAACTCATATATTTAGCCAATTGTTATTACACATATTTGTAAATTGGCATTTTGAAAAAAGTATTCCTTTTAAAATTTGAGAATAACGTGAAATAAAATTTATTTAGAATAAAAATTTTTGATTTTCGGAATAATAAATATGGAAAATGTTCATGAAAATGATAAATGTGGAAGTTATTAAAATGTTATCACTTTATTGTTCTAGCAAGAAATTATACACATATTAAAATATGACATTACACAGTTTTGATGTAAGTTCGACTATGCACTAGAGATGTAGTTGTGTCACATAATCTTACAGATAATTTTTTGACATTGGTGTTTTAAAATAACTTTTCAGTTTTATCAATAGCATTTTCTGTTTCCTTGAGACCATTTTTGTGCCAAATCGTGAAACATAATCATAAAACAAGCAGTTGTCATATGAATAGTAGATACAATTTGGGCTCTTATTGCTTGTCTGTTGAATATATAAACTGAAAGTTTTACTAATTGATATTTCTTGCAACGTTATTATATAATAGAAAATTGATTAATTGATATCAATCAATTTAAGTTAAAATTACAATTTTAATTTAAATTTGTTTAAATTTATATAATCTCTGACGATTTTAAATACTTGCACATCTATTGTGCAGTATTTAAAAAGTTACTTTTTACATAAATAAGATAAAAAGAGATTGCATCTTAGCCATAGGGAAATAACGGCCTGAAAATTGGATCTGTACATATGTATGTGTATCATGCTTATTTTATTAGATATATATATAAGTGATCAAATTGGATAGTGTGTTTATTTAAATTTAATTTTTATTTGTATAGAAATATACGTGCGCTTAGAAGCAGGAAATACATTAACTTCCGCTTCAAAAATATTTTCATAAAAAAGCGATACCAAAATAAAGTAGAAATCAATAAAATAGGTATGTTTAAGATATTCATTTGATGGACACCCTGTGAAATCTCATTGAACATGAACTTCCTTTGCTAGAAGCGATAAAAAGCATAATTTAATGTATCAAGTATCCGATTTCAATCAATCAAATAATCCTTGGGTAATTATTTTATAGTCGTTCTAGTTCAATTCATTGAGGTTTTTATCAATTTTTACGATAAAAGATTTATTAAGTCGAATACTGATTGACGATTTTCGTACAAATTGTCAGGGCATTATTTTACAGACTGAATAGTCTACAAGATTTTTTTTTATCGTTTACCCGATCATGACAAACAGCACACGGCGGATGTGACCAGTTGATAGGGGACGCAAAAATAACCCAGTTAAAATCCGAGTAACCTAGTACCATTTTTATTTGATACTCGGATGTTCGATCCAGCACTCGGTTTATTGGGTACTCGTAAACATCCTTAGCTTTTATCTGTCTAAATGATTACCTTTTAAGGAAAAATTTGTTGAAGAGTCAACGCCTTAACTTGATATATTCACATATTGTCAGATACAAAAAAAATTTTAATCTTCAGTTTTAATTTTTCCGGTAAGACTGCATTTTCACAAATGAAGTAGACAGCTTTCCGACGTTATAAACTAACCACTCACTAAATGATTCGCTGGTGTTTTCGTCCAAACACGAACATCTTATGACGCACACAAGTGTTAATTAGATTTTTACAATGTATCAAATATTTTCTGTAAAACGTCATTATGTAAAAGAATTTCGCTCTATGAGGTATAGGTATGTTCTTTTTCATTTTCATTCATTAAAAATATCATTTGAAAAAAGATAAAACAAGAAGAATTTTCCCTCAATTTCATGTTTTGTTCATTTCCAGGAAATGGTGCCAGTATTTTGATTTCAACGTAACAAGGGGTCTCGATAAAGGAAAATATTTATTGAATAAGAAAACAAAGACACTAATCAGAATTCTTTCCGAGATGATGGCAAAAAGGCAACAAAAGGTTTTTGTGACAATGTAAGTTGCTATTTTTTATTTAAGTTCCTGATGTATAATTTAACTTGGTTTTTCAATATAATAATCTCTCCTGTTTTCAATCAACAGAATTGTGTTTAGTACGTGGAATATTGCGTGTATAGCATCCCAGACAGATTTCGAATTTGACGAAAATTCTATCGCTCATTCATTTCGAGATGAAGATAGAACGCAATTGGACAAACGTTCCTTTGATAGACTAGCATCGGGACTTATTGGAAAAAGACGTGTGGACTCAATTGGAAGTGGTTTGCTTGAAAAACGCCGTCTGGATTCAATTGCAAGTGGCTTAGTAGGTAAACGACATCTTGACTCTATAGCAAGTGGTCTAGTGGGCAAACGGCGCTTAGACTCCATAGCCAGTGGATTAGTCGGCAAGCGGCACCTAGATTCGATAGCTAGTGGTTTAGTCGGCAAGCGGCGCTTAGATTCAATTGCGAGTGGACTCGTCGGAAAGCGTCGTTTAGATACTCTTGCAAGTGGTCTTGTTGGAAAACGACGACTTGATGCCATAGCAAGTGGGTTAATTGGAAAACGCCATCTTGATTCCATTGCAAGTGGGTTAGTAGGAAAGCGTCCATTGGGAACACATGTCAGCAGCCATGCTGCCGAGAAACGCATGCTTGACTCACTTGCAAGTGGTTTGGTTGGTAAGCGTATGATGGATTCTTTGGCAAGCGGGCTCGTGGGGAAAAGAACCATGGATTCTCTCGCAAGTGGATTGGTCGGAAAACGGGTGATGGATTCTCTTGCCAGTGGATTAGTTGGAAAATGATAAATTTTGTTGCATTGTCTGATAAAAAATTGCAGCAAGGTTGTGAAAAGAGAATAAGCATTGTAAGGCATTTTAATGATTATCAGAAAAATGCTATTTGTAAAGATATTATATTTACAATTTATGATTTCAGGTTCTTGAAAAAACAGATATTTGAAAATTATTTGAAATTTCTTTTCTATGAAATCCTGTTTTAATTACTCCATCATAAATCAGTGTAATATTAAATTTGTAAAGTAATCTTGTGCATTTACGTTGTATTAAATAAAGCTTTACACATGAATTCTGTTCGAGTTTGACTTCATTACAATGGTTTGGCAACCTGAGACAAATTCTCAAGTTAACTTTTCTGATTCAAGTTTGTTACCACGTCATTCAGTCTGTATTCTACAAAAGCCCCGAAGGTACGAGGGGCCTTATAAAAGTTCTGGCAACTGTTTAATAAAAAATAATAACCGTTTTACGGAAATTATTGAGTTTGATATCATTGGAAAGGTCAGCAAATATACACATAATGTGACATCACGTTATAATTTTTATGATGTAATAACTCCGAAAATGACGTCAGAATATAGAATGTTTAGCATACTGACCATCAAAATGACGTAACAAAAGACATAATTTGATCAAATTAAAATTTTCAAGAAAACTTTTGCTCATAACTCGGACGCAAGCTAACGGACGCATCGATGAAGGTTCAAGAGAAGTTAAGTTTAGTGTGCCCTATATTTTCTCGTAAAATCAAAAATGGCGGCAGCGCAGTTGTAACACCACCGTACATGTACCTCCACATATTCGCAAATTTTAATGCAAGGAAAATGAATAATAAGAATTTACATGTCTGTGAAACTTATATTCATTTTTTGGATTCAAAAGTCAAAAGCAGTGGTGTGTTTTAGGGCGCCGAAGTTGAATTAATGTGGAAAAAATACGCACAGAATCAAGTCAGGGACAAGATTTCGTACATTTTATTCGTAAACAGTAAGAGTCCTGATACTCAAAATATATTTGGTGAAAACTGCATTAATATACTTCAGTTTAATACAGGACATGTTTCATTTCAAACAATGGAGAGCTATATAATAGACAAAAAATCCAGCCGTATCATATAAATAAAAATTTTAAACGAATGTCGATGATAGCATAACCGGAGAGAAACCGTAATCATGAACAAACCATACAATGAATAATGGAATTGCTGATAAACAGTATCCTAGTCCTACTCTACCTCTTTGCAAATTAAAATTTTCTTTGAAATGTTTTCTCAAATAAGCCCTTGGCAGCACTTTTATGGTCGTCTCAAATGCATAAAAACGCGACTTTTCAGTATGCTAAACATTCTATATTCTGACGTCATTTTCGGAGTTAGTACGTCATAAAAATTATAACGTGTGACGTCACAATATTTGTATATTTTTCTGATTCTTCCGATGATATCAAACTCAATAATTTCCGTAAAACGGTTAATTTTTTATTAAACAGTTGCCAGAACTTCTGAAATGTCCCTCGTACATGTCGATTTCTCAAAAAAGTAAAAACTATTTTGAGAATTCGAATTACACAATCCGTTCCCACTGATTATCAGTTCATTCCTTCGACTTATAATTTAATATATTTAATTACATAATCCAACATCAGACTGAGTCTCATTATTTAGGCAATCCATTTTCTCGGACTTCAATACATATACACATATGTTCATATATAAAGGATTGGTAAATCATTTCCTTTGTTTCAATTAATGCGCATTTTGTAATCCATGTATAATGTTTAAGCAACCGGTCGTTCCATACTTTTTAAGATTAAGTCAACGTAGATTTATTTTACAAGAACAAAAATCATAGTACCCATGATGAATTTTACCAGGGCTCGCTGTGATCTAAAATACATTGAACACAAAAATCTAAGACTTTTTGTACTAATATCAGTACTAGTGTATGGATTTGAAAACAAAATTCTCATGTATTTTTCTCATTTTGGACCAAAATGTGTAATAAAAACAAGGGTATATATTATTTCACATGTTCGCTAGCCAAGGGTATTTCGGATCGAAAACCCTTGGCTAGGGAAGATGATTAATTCATATTCTATTTATTTACCACGTATTGCCATATTTGAGATGTACAATAAATAATAATTGACAGGAGGGCTATGGATTGTCATATTGATAATCAGACATGAAACGTATTGGGTTGATTGTTCATATTTAGCCCCTGGGGGATAGGGATGAAAAAAAGACGTCAAAGTTCAAAAGGTGGCGTTAAATGTAAAAGTCAAGTACCATCAAGTAGTGCATAAGTTTTTAAAAATAAAAAATGGCTCTTACAAGTTTGGAATACGATAGGGAAATTGAGTCGACCATAGTCAAGTAAAAAGACCCAACTTTTCTATGACAGCATTTCTAGAAAATACCGAACACGTTAATTAAGGTCTACTGATTCTGTTGGTAAAGATCATTATTCTTTTTTTTTTCTTCTACTTCCTAGACGCCAACTTTGAAGCCTCATATCTCACTCATTTCTCAATTGATTTCGCTCAAATTTTCAGAGGTACTAGAAGTTACTAAACTCTATCAGAATGCTGTCGAAAATTTCAAAAAGTCACTTCCGGTTTTGAGTTATTTCCCTTTAAACGAAAATTTATAGGCTTTCGTTTCCAGACAAAGGCTCAGAGAAGGCTAAAGCTGGAGCAGAAATTTTACTGATTTTAGATAATAGAAGGACTGAAGTTGTGCACATCGGTTTTTGTTTTTCGATTTCTCTATTCAAAATGGCGCTATATAGGGGTCAAAAATTAGAACGCTTAAACGAGCCAAAAATTACTCATATTTTGCTTTTTATCTTCTAAACTAAAAATATTTTGTTAAAATATATAGAACATAATTTGTGCAGAATTAAAAGGTCTTTCAAATGATATCTCAGAAAAAGGGCTGGCCCCTATAATTAAGGGCCAAGAGGGGCCGAAAGTTTTTCCTTTATATCTCAAAAAGTATTGAGAATTTGTAATACGTCAAAGAAGCAAAGTTGTTTGAAATGTCGAGCTCAATCTATTGAGGTCGTCAAAATACGTCCGACGACGTCACTTCCGGCCAAACCGGAAGTAGTCGTAAAACGCATATTTTGCCATTCTTGACAAGTTTTTGGGTAACATCTGTCACTGGGAGCAAAAAAATTAATTTTCCGTCCGTCGTCGTCACTTCCGGTCAAACCGGAAGTAGCAAAAAATGGCTGATTTTTGCATTAAATGACAAAGATTTAGAGGATTTAAACAATTTTAGGACGCTTTTACTCATTTTTGTAGGAATGAAAGTTACTTCCGGTCAAACAGGACGGAAGACCTTCTCGTTGCTTTGCAACGAGCTTTGCTCTAGTTTCTTTTATTAGTCTGAATATTTCAACATGTGGAGGAAGATGTAACTCTTCAGATACCTGTTAATTTTTTGTAGTACAATAGTACTACCCTAGCTGAAGAACTGTAGTTCTCCGAAAAAAATTGACAGACCGGAGAACTTTAAAAACTTTCGGCTCAAAATACTACTAACCCTGTATTCCTAAAATATATTTTCACTGTTTCCACAACAAAACTTTCCTTATAACTGTTGTTAAGGGTACTTAACACAAACAAACATTTGATGCATGGATTGATATATATATTTTGACTGATCTGATTTGAAATGACTAAATACGAAATTCCTGAAATATAAAGAAATCGTAGGTTTTCCTTGATGCTTAGATATTAGACTTTGTTTTGCTTTCTATGTAATTCCATACAAAATTTTGCACAAATATTTAACCTTAAATGACAAAGTCATATAAAATTCTCCCATTATACTTGATAAACATTACTCAGGTTACCGATATGATTGTAAAACTATGAGAAATATAGCTGATTTCTGAAAAAGTTTGTTTGTGTTATTTATCCTTAATAGCCCTCCTGACCCTAGGAATGGGGTCATTGAAAATTTTGCCAATTTATACTACCATTTTGGTTGCAAAATAATTTGGTCCAACGCTCTTCGTATATATGTTAATTACGAGGGGTGATCAAAAAGTTCGCGAACTGTCTCTATATTTACAAAACAACGATTCGGATCAGAATGAAATTTGGTACACCTATAGTCATGCACATGTTCTATGAATAGCATTTGAAAAACATTGATTTTCTCCATCGTTGTGACGTCACAATATGAAAATGACCTCAATATGTAGGTGACTCATGGCAAAAAAAAAAAAAAAAAAATGGCTGTCACAGTCTTACTCGAGCAGCGAACAGCTGTAAAGTTAAACGTGCAACTTGGAAATTCCTTTGAAGTATTTTATAATAATTTGTACAATGTTTATGTAGACAATAGATTTTCCAGAATTCAAATCATGATTTAGATTTATTATTTTAGTGAAGGGAGGGAGATGGTTGAACTTGACGTTTGTTTAGCCAAACGAAAGCAAGCCGGGGGAGAGATGTGTCCTTTGTTAGGCAATTTGTCAAGAAAGATTGCGACGTTACAGCTGGAAAAATGGTTGAATATCTTAAGAATAATATTATATTAAATCCCTAAAATATCGTTTGATTGAGACTTTTAGCATATTAAATATTATAAAAGGAAGGCCCCCCACCTATATCCATATTGGACAAACGACGTTCCTAAGATTGAGGACTCGGGTTGTGATTGTCACAATGTTCTTTCTGGGAAGCACTATCCTTACCCAACCATCCTACTTTTGATATTTCCTCATTTTTGACAAATGGAGTGTTCTTGTTATAAAAATCAACTTGCATTGTAAGAAAAAAAAACTCGGAAAAATATGTTGGCGTCAATGAACAGAATGCATCAGAGCATATTACGGACCGCCTTGATCACGTGATTCGCGCATGGGCAGAACGATGTAAGATATGCATTAAAATCAGAAAGGGCTACTCTGAAAAATAATTAAGGAATAACTGTCTTATTTTTCGATTTCATGAAGTGATCAATAGATTGGCTTGCGTGATAATTTGCATAAACGCAGAAGGCGTTTATGCATAAAATTATCACGCAAGCCAATCGATTGATCATCTTCATGAAATTGAAAAATCTGACAGTTATTCCTTATATTTACATGCTTTGATTCCGCCAATCCACGTGCTCCAAGCCCTGCTTCTGACTAGGTGTTTGTCCCGCCCTGCATGTGGTTTTTTTGGAACCGCGCCAATAAATTGATGGGGAAATAAAGTACATTTACATTTGGTAATTTTATCTCGGACAAAGACATTGG